AACGGTAGGATAATGATTCGATCGAGCTAGGGGGATGTAGGGGGATTTAACCCAAGAGAGCTCCCAACCTTGTAAATAGCTAGGTTAGTGGTTAGCTAGGTCAGTTAGTTTAAAATTATTATGCTTGCTTGCCCTATGCTACACCTGGTCGCCGGTTATACTTGGTTGGCGATTGGGATGTGTAGTTAGATCGAATCATACATACAAAGATAAACGAGTTCACATTCTCATACAATCAATTTCGAACTAGCTATACATAGAAGAGAAGGAGGGCACCATTATCGATGATGAACGCATCTCCTTAGTTGCACCCTCTCCTACGAATGCTAAGCTCTCACTCGAACAGAGTGTGCACAAATTTTTTGACTGAAATTGTGCAACCTGCTGAACACATGAGTCTAACCCTCTATATATAGTGGTAGAACTCCGCCAAAATCTTCCTAACTGTACTAGGACATTGTTTATCTGACTTGCGGCCGAACCATGACCTAAAGATCTTTTGTTTGGGCTTGTGCCTTTGGGCGTCAGCTGGGAAGCGGATGGCACCAATGCCATTTTTCTTCTTGGGCTGGACTTCTTGGCCTACAAACAACCTCTCATGAAGTTTCATCGTGTTTTGTGTAGGTTTTCTTGGGCGGCGGTAGGACCCTTTGCTGGGCTGCCATTGGTTTTTGCTTCTGCTTGGGCCGAGTCGTCCTCCATTGGGCTTCTCTTGGGCTCTACTTATAGTTACTAGTAGGCTTCTCTGTCATTGGACCTCGTATTTATCATGAGAGCTTCATATTCTTCTCTTTATAGATCTTTTGGTCCTCCAGAGTTATCCCATAATTGATTCAAATCCTCCTAGGTTGCTTTATTCTTTGAAACCCATAAAAACATACAAAGAAGGCATCAGAGAGTACAAAAATACAACCTAGGTCTATTAAGTGTTCATTGATCCAATAGTTATAATTTATGTATGAAATAAAAGATAAAGTACTAAAGATGTATTGATAAAAGGGAAAATGATCAAATATGAGAGAGTTAAACACTATAAATAAAATATCATACGAAATATGGGAGTGAACCTTCTATTTGATAACTAGCTTTTTACCCGCCCGTTGGGCGGTGTGTTTTGTTTGATTGTTTTTTTTTTTGACAATATATGATTTCCATTTCATCAACGACAAAGTAAAAGCAAAGCCATATTACAACATCGGATCAATAATATTAAGCACTTGGATCCAATCTTGGGGGAGATATCCGTTTGCTGCTTCTTTTGCCACCCAATCTGCACTTCTGTTACAAGATCTTGGGGTAAAGCAGATAGATAATCCGACTTTCACTCTGAGCAGATTGCGCATCCACTGAATCCAACCTCTCACTTGCCAAGGACCTACTTTATGATGATCTTGAATGATATCGACAAGCACCTTACAGTCCGAGAAGATAGAGGCTGAACCGTGGAGGGAAACTGTTGTTCTCACCGTCGTCAATAGAGCTTTTGCTTCCGCAACTATCGCTGATGAACAGAAGAAAGTGCCAACGCAACCATCCACAACTTGTCCATGGGAGTTCTTAATGATGACCCCAAAAGCCGCCACCTGTGATTCCGATCTAAAAAATCCATCACAGTGAATTTCCCACTGGGAAGAACTAGGAGGTGGGAGAAGTGTGTTATGGTTATAGAGGTGTTGGGCTTGGACACCGAGGGGGGGTAGGATGCTGAAGGGGATTCGTCCAGAAAGATAAATGTCTAACTTCATTTGCTGAAGTCACTGTAGGACGGGGGATGACACCTTTGAATACTCTCTCGTTCCGAGCCAACCAGATTGCCCAAAGGCAAGCCACGACCCCAGGTATAGAGACCGTAGGGGAAACTACACAGATAGACAACAACCACATAACAACAGGCGTCTGGTCCTGGGGCAAAGAGAGCGAAGGTTGAAGGATCTGCCAAACTCTAGCAGCGTGAGGACACTGGAAGAAGCAGTGCCACACATCCCCCACATCCCCTTCACAAACATCGCAAAGCGGGGATGAACTCATTTTTTATGCCAGAGATTCCCCTTTGTAGCAATCGCATTCCTTGAAATCCTCCACAGAAAAGAGAGGATCTTTGGAGGCAAAGAAAGACTCCAAAGCCATTTCCAAGATTTTGAGGTGCAGTTAGGATGATTCAGATTTGGGGTCCCCAGCCAATCTCTTTCTGACTCCCTGAAAATATGGTAGGCTGATTTCACTGAAAACAACCATGATCTCTCAAAATGCCAAACCCAGTCATCATCAGAAGAATCCGTGCCGATTGGGATTCTCTTAATAGCCTCCACTTCATCCGAAGAGCAGCTTTGTTGGATAATGTCAAGGTTCCATTCACACCCATCATCCATAACCCATTGAAAAGCCCACAGTTGTTGCCTACTCATCGGCTGCAACTTAAAGTTGGGGATACCTAGAATCCAAGGGTCTTTTCCAATGAGATCGATCTTCCACTTCCCATGTTCTTTCGAGCCCCCAACTTCAAGATGGATTTTGCTTCACAAATGCTAGACCAAATCCAGGATGGCCTCCTACCTTTCTCAGCCTCCATAAAATCACCATTAGGAAAATAGAGACCCTTAAGAAGCTTGATCCATGTCTCTTCCTTCCCATTAAGAATTCTCCATCCTTGCTTCGCCAACAGGGCCATATTGAATTGATGGAAATCCTTAAACCCCATACCTCCTTCCTGCTTAGGAGCCGTTAAAACGCTCCCTTTTCTCCATGTGATTGCCTTCTTTTCCATGTCCCCTCCCCAGAAGAAAGAATTGAGGCGGGAATTCATCTTCTTAGTCGTCCCTTTTGGAAGGAGGAAGCAGGACATGATATAGGTGGGGTAACCCTGAAAGACTGATTTCAACACTATTTCCTTTCCTGCTTGATTGTTCTTTGTTGTTGTTATATTCTATTTTTTTACCGTTCATGTAAATTATACTATTATGCATGAAATTTTTAATGTTACTTACCTTTCAGCTATAGTTTCACGCGTTTTTATTTATCGTTTATTTATGAAAAAGTTAATTTTGCTAAATTAGCTATTTGTAGACCTTCTGTTTATTGATTTATAATTTGGTATTGAAACCGCTGCTTAAGACATAAGTATTGGATGTCAAAATTATAAAAATTGAAATAATTATATCACACGTTGGTTTTTTATTGGAATCATCATTAAATAAAATAATTCTATTAATATTTTAGCACAAAAAAGTTAAAAAAAGTATAAAAAGTTACAGGGCGCATACAAAGAAATTAAATAAGGAAATATGTTACAATTAATAAAAAAAATCATAAGTGAAGATCTTATTATTGCTTGCTTGCCCTATGCTACACCTGGTGGCCGGTTATACTTGGTTGGCGATTAGGATGTGTAGTTAGATCGAGTCATACATACATAGATAAACGAGTTCACATTCTCATACAATCAATTTCGAACTAGCTATACATAGAAGAGAAGGAGGGCACCGTTATCGATGATGAACGAATCTCCTTAGTTGCACCCTCTCATACGAATGCTAAGCTCTCACTCGAACAGAGTGTGCACAAATTTTTTGACTGAAATTGTGCAACCTGCTGAACACATGAGTCTAACCCTCTATATATAGTGGTAGAACTCCGCCAAAACCTTCCTAACCCTACCAGGACATTGTTTATTTGACTTGCGGCCGAACCATGGCCTAAAGATCTTTTGTTTGGGCTTGTGCCTTTGAGCGTCGGCTGGGAAGCAGATGGCACCAATGCTATTTTTCTTTTTGGGCTGGACTTCTTGGCCCACAAGAAACCTCTCATGAAGATTTCATCGTGTTTTGTGTAGGCTTTCATGGGTGGCGGTTGGACCCTTTGCTCGGCTGCCGCTGGTTTTTGATCCTGCTTGGGCCCAGTCGTCCTCCATTGGGCTTCTCTTGGGCTCTACTTGTGGTTACTAGTAGGCTTCTCTGTCATTGAACCTCGTATTTATCACGAGAGCTCCATATTCTTCTCTTTATAGCTCTTTTAGGCCTCCACAGTTATCCCATACTTGATTCAAATCCTCCTAGGTTGCTTTATTCTTTGAAACCCATAAAAACATACAAAGAAGGCATAAGGGGGTACAAAAATACAACCTAGGTCTATTAAGTGTTCATTGATCCAATAGTTATGATTTATGTATGAAATAAAAGAGAAAGTACTAAAGATGTATTGATAAAAGGGAAAATGATCAAATATGAGAGACTTAAACACTATAAATAAAATGTCATCAGAAATATTGGAGCGAACCTTCTATTTGATAACTAGCTTTTTACCCGCCCGTTGGGCGGTGTGTTTTGTTTGATTGTTCTTTGTTGTTGTTATATTCTAATTTTTTTTACGGTTCATGTAAATTACACTATTATGCATGAAATTGTTAATGTTACTTACCTTTCAGCTACAGTTCCACGCGTTTTTATTTATCGTTTATTTATGAAAAAGTTAATTTTGCTAAACTAACTATTTGTAGACCTTTTGTTTATTAATTTATAGTTTGGTATCGAAACCGCTGCTTAAGACATAAGTATTGGATGTCAAAATTATAAAAATTAAAATAATTATATCACACGTTGGTTTTTTATCGGATTCATCATTAAATAAAATAATTCTATTAATATTTTAGCACAAAAAAGTTAAAAAGGTATAAAAAGTTACTGGGCGCATACGAAGAAATTAAATAAGCAAATATGTTACAATTAATAAAAAATCATAAGTAAAGGTCTTATCATTTTTTCTCCCTTTTCTTCTGTTGGTATAGGATAATAAAGCATATTGCAATCTAAATATCACTATATCATACAATATTAGTTGTCTTTACAATTTTAAAAGAGAGAGGAACCACATTTTCATCACATCGTTATCTTCAAATTACTCATTTAATTTACCTTGAAATATTTAACCAAACCAACAACAAACTAACTATCAGCTGCGCCCTTGATTCCCAAAGTCGATAATGTGGAGACTATGCGCCAGCTCCGCCCGATCAGTTTATGCCAGTTTGTCTATAAGATCATAACCAAAATCATGGCAGGGAGACTCGCTACGATGCTTCCCCAGATCATCTCGGAGGGACAAAATGCCTTCATTCGGGAACGCCAGATCATTGATAATGTCCTTCTCGGGCATGAGTTGATGCATTACCTAAAAATCAAAACCCGAGGTAAGAAAGGCTACATGGCTCTAAAGGTTGACATGGAAAAGGCCTATGATAGAGTTGAGTGGGCCTTTCTTCTTGGCGTTTTGGATAAAATGGGATTCAGCTCTGTCTGGAGAGATTGGATCCATGAATGTCTCAGATCTTCGTCGTTTACTATTCTTATGAATGGGAACCCCTCTGGTTATTTTTCTCCGACTAGAGGACTCCGCCAGGGCGACCCCCTATCCCCTTTGCTTTTTGTTATCTGCACTGAGGGTTTTGCGGCTCTGCTTCGGCAAGCAATTTCTGAGAAGCGGCTGGAAGGAGTTAAGGTTGCCCCTCGGGCTCCCAGGATCTCTCACCTCTTCTTTGATGATGACTCCTACTTATTCCTTCGGGGCACTCTTCAGGAATGTGAGAACCTGATAACAGTCTTGAATGAATATGAGGAACTCAGTGGCCAGAGGGTAAACCTGGGAAAGTCAGCGGTTTGCTTTAGTAAGAACGTTTCGTTGCCTGATCAAGAGTTCCTGGCCCAGATTCTGGGGGTTGGGGCGGTCGGAGTTCATGATAAGTATTTAGGATTGCCCACCCTCATAGCTCGATCAAAGATGGCTACCTTTCGGTACCTGGAGGAGAAATTGCTGGAACGGCTTCAGGGGTGGAAGCAGCGCACGCTTTCTTGGGCGGCTAAAGAGACTTTGATTAAATCAATAGCGCTAGCTTTACCTCTACACGTCATGTCCTGTTTCAGACTCCCACTTTCCCTGTGTCGTCTTCTTGACAAGCATGTGACGCGTTTCTGGTGGGGTGATGAGGAAGGGCATTCTCGAATTCGGTGGGTCTCTTGGCGTAACATGTGCAGAAGTAAGCACGAAGGGGGTATGGGCTTTCGCCGATTTGAGCAGTTTAATCAGGCCCTCTTAGCGAAAATTGGATGGCGTATCCTTACTGAACCGGATTCTTTGTTAGCTCAGGTGTACAAAGGGAAGTATTTTCCGAATTCCTCCTTCCGCTCGGCTACGGCTAGATCCCGTCCGTCTTGGGGATGGCAAGGTGTCCTTTATGGTCGTCAGCTGCTAGAGAAGGGGTTACGTTGGCAGATAGGGAATGGGCAAGCTGCTTCTCTCCTTCACTCTAATTGGAGTCCGCGGGTACACCCCTGGCCGGTGCGGTTTAACCCCCGGGTGCTGCCGGAAGGTGGGGACCCGACTGTGTCTGAAATAATCAGTCTGGAGGGCGGGTGCTGGGCGGAGGAGAAACTTACTCAGTGGTTTGACCCGGATACGTGTAATGCAATCAGAGCTATTCCCCTGCCGCGGCAGAATTTAGAGGATAGATTGATCTGGCATGCCACGACTGATGGGGTATTCACTGTGAAGTATGCCTATCATTTAGCAGTTTCAATCGAGAGAAGTAATGGTCGGTGGCGCCAATTGGCAGGATGGATGGACAAACCTAGCTGGATTCGCTTGTGGGAGGCTAATATCCCTCCTAAGTTAAAGGACTTCTGCTGGCAAATCTTTAATAGAATCCTCCCAACCACTGAAGCTCTTCGGGAGAAAGGAGTGGAGGTTCTCCCTCGGTGCCCGGTCTGCTGGGCGGAATCTGAAACCATGGAACATTTGTTTCTGGAGTGTCCAGTGGCGCGCGCCCTTTGGGATTTATCGGGTTTGGAATATCTTGGCCAAGGGTTGCCTCGGCATACGTTTCCCTTTTTCCTCAAGCGATTGATGGCGTTAGTGCCCCAGGCCCCTCTGTTTATGAAAGTTGTGGCTGTTCTTTGGAGGATTTGGCGATCTAGGAACTGGGTAGTCTTTGAGGGCAAACAGTTTGGGATCCCGGCCTTGATTCGACAATTTAACCAACAATTTGAGGAATGGGTTAGCCTGCCTATCGATCGCCCCCAGCCGCTGTTGGCTCCTCTCCCAGGACCTCAGTCGTTGGTTTCCACTGGGCAAGCCTCGTGTAGATGGGATGGGGCGACGATGTCTGGTTCTCATTCGGCGGGTGGGATGGTGTTGGTGGATGCTAATGGGGATCCGGTCTTGGCTGCAGGATTTCAGATCCCTCATATTGATAGTCCTCCGGTTGTCGAGTTGTTGGTTCTTCGTGAGGCCATTAGGTGGTGCCTCAGCTTGGGCTTTACAGAGGTACAGTTTGAAGGCGACGCCAAAGTCATTATTGATAAACTCAATAGGGCGGATGCAGGTGATAGCCAGATGGGAGCAATTCTGCAAGAAGTTGTAAATCTTTTAGCTGTCCACTCTGGTTTTTGTGTACGGTTTATAGGTCGGAGTAACAATAGGGTAGCCCATTTGGTGGCTAGGAAAGCCCTGTCTTTGTACCCGGCTACTTGCCGTTTCTTTGATTTTCAGGCCTGGCTGTCTTCCAGGATGTAACTTTCATTGTTTGATCTAATGGATTATCTTTTGTCAAAAAAAAAAAACTATCAGCTGCAAAAAAAGAAGAAGAATATATTCAACAAACCAAGCCGCTTATAAAAACACATTATATTTAGTAGAGAACTACAAATTCCTTGCGCTGCGTATTGGTGATATTTTACCAAATATTCAAAGAGATGAATAATGAAAGTCGCAAACTTCAATACAACTCAAATCATTCTATCTTGCATAGTCTCCATTCATGAACCGGGTTTGATGCGTCAATCAACTTCAAACAATAGTAGGTAGGAAAATAGTTAGGCCAAAATCAAAGATTTAATTAGGGATTCAATTAGGCCAAAATCGTCGTCTAGTTTACAAACCGGCTGTTACAAAAAGCTTCCATGTCTTAGGGAACCTTATACAAAAAGGGGATTCACAATCCCACTGCTTCCTCATTAGTTAGTCGAGTCAGCTTTATCTTCCTCTTTCGTTGGAGCGTGACGGTACCGAAGATGACTAGACCTCTGTTGTTAACGAGTCAGCTGATAGATCCAGGAGTTGTAGGACTCGACTTTATAGGGAGAGTTTGACTATAACAAGGAAAAAGGCAGCCATTCGATGAATGGCGCCATATTGGGGTACCCGTCTGCATATTCTGTGGCACTGGGTGCAGTCTAACTTGTTCGATTACGTCTACTGGTAGAAAGACTCTGAGATGGTCATAGGTCCATTCTCCGTTCAAGACCAGCTCTGCATAACACTAAGAAAATAAAAAAAAAATTGTCCAGGTGGTAATGCGTTTGATACTTGACAACCGCCACTTCTGCGTTACCCCCTTGGAGGCCACCAGCAAGGCATTAAGCTCGTATTAAACATTCCCAGAGTTTTTCGGGTATCTATGGGAGCCGGAGTTTGCCGTCGCAAGATGAATTTCTTCTCGTATAAAAAAACTACTTGAAAAATGAAGAAGAAATAAATTTACAGAATCTAGTGGAAAACTTACGACCCCACTGGGGAAGAGAGAACAATCACCAGCCATGCATCAAGGGAAAATGGAGCAGTCGACAATGCTTTTTGTTGACAAATATATGAACATTTTTTCCCGGTCAACAACTCAAAAATATGTTACAACTACTCATCTAATCATTGTTTCATGTAACTCCCTCCCTATTAACCACAAACAAACAAAAACTACATATGTCACAAGTGGATTTTGGATCAGTTCTCGCAAATGAAGAAAAAGTGATGGAAGAAAATTTTGGTGAATCAACTATGAAAAGTAGAAAGGTATTATTTCCTTCCTATTTCATTGTGTAAAAAGTAAAGAAGATAAATGCTTGAAATCTAAAAAATAATTTAGTAAATAAGAAGATAGTTTTGTTTGTTCTACGGGGCTTGACCCAATCTCTTTATCTTTTATCTTTTTTATGTTTGATTTTCTTTTGAGAGAGAAGCTATCAACAAAGAGATAGAAGAAAACCAAAAGATTGCATTGATTGGAAATTTAACACTGTTATTAACTCAATTAACATTTTATTTATAATGATGATGAATTAAAGTGTAATAAAAAATTATTTCAATTATAATTAGAAGTTGTCCACATTGGATGAATGAGAGCTAGCCTGCGGATGTCGTCTATAAATGCTCCTCCGGTGGCAACAAAGACTCATAGAGGCATCCTAGCTCACTTGAACACTGTGGAGACTTAGAATGTTGAGGAAAAACTACGCGTCCCTGCAAAACCAAACAAACACACAAGCGCCCCTAGTGTAGGACAACTAAGCTCTACCGAGTGGACTTAAACAAACCATTGAGGCTTAGGCGGATACTCCGAAACCAAAGCTACCAACGTCAAAATAATAACATTTTTTAAGTATAGGAAAAGAAAAGTAATGAAAAACGGAGGAAATTGAAGGAATCAAAGAGCAGATACTTCAAAATAAAGAAAGGCAAGTAAAGGGATTTTTATAGAATTATCACAGCAGGAGGTGTATTACGAGACTGTCATGGAGATTGGATAGGAGGATTTTGCAGTAAAATTGGTTCAGGTAATGCTCTAATGGCTGAATTGTGGGGCATCTTTCAGGGTTTGAAATTGGCTTGGGATAACAGAGTTCAGTTTCTCATCCTAGAATCAGACTCACAACTGGCACTGCAACTGCTTGAGAATAGGACAGATACAGCGCATCCTTATGCTACTCTTCTAGGAGCCATTCGTCGCATGATTGCGCAAGGATGGGTTGTTCAACTAATTCATACGTATAGCGAAGGGAATAGAGCCGCGAACTGGATCCCTTCGGTACATATGAATTAGATAAACCCCGTTAGAACTTATGAGGATTATGAGAGAAGACGTTCAAGGAATTAGTTTCCCCAGACAAGTGCTGCAAGATCCAAGTGATGCTGAAGATTGATCATTGCTGGTTTATACTTTTGCTCCTTTCCTTCGGCTGCTTTAAGTCTTTGCGTTTTGCTGTAGCCGATTAGGCTTTGTATCTGCTGATGTGCACTTTATGTGCCTCACTCTTGGCATTTTTGCCTCCCATTAATAATAATAAAAAGAATTAAAACCAGAATAGGATTTGAAAATTAACACAAAAGTTGTAATAACTCCAAATAACTAAGGAAAACGTCAATGAGTTTAAATTTTAAGTGAAAAAAAATAAAAAATTGATAATAATAATAAATTAGGAAGGAAATTGAAAGACTTATCGAAACTTTGGCGGATTGAATTTGTCGCGGGAACCGTCAAAAGTTTTGATCTCCACCTCCGAAATTGGGGAGTGTAACGGTCGCCGGAAAATGTAACCGTCAATATCATCGTCATCCTCCCGGAGCCATAGCAAGAGATGCTGTGGACACACACCAGCCAATGAATCAGCGCCGACATGGGGGAAGTCTGAATTTGAGCCGGTGGGCGTGAGGGATGTCTCATATCATATACATCGTTATCCGCAACTGATCAGAACATCAATCAGCGGTTCGTCGTCGTCTCAACCACCTCCAGAGGATGATCAATCGGATCTGACATTATGATTACTGACTCGAAAATCAAATTGGGCCAAGCAACCTAACCATGGGCCTTCTCCAATAGCCACTTCCAGCTCCATACGACATGCTACTACAGGTAGGGGTGGAAGTTTGGTTTGCGGATTGCGGGTAATCCACAAACCGCACCAAACCGCATACATTGTGAGTAACCATACTCACAATTTGTGGATAGTGGGTTGGGTGTGGGTAGCAAAATATTGATTTTTGTGGTTAGTGGTTAACCACTATCCACAGTGGTTAACCCACAAAATCCACAATAACCACACTAAGTATATTTATTTATTAATATACTTTGTAATATTAAATTATGTGAAAAGTAGAATGCTACAAATTAAGTAGGCTCCAAAATCAAATATATTTATTTAATAAAACAAAACCAAGCTAATACACCGTGTTTGTATGAGATACTTTTATTAAATAAGCATTGTCTGCGTGGTATATGTCTATTTTATAACAAAACAGAGCCAATAAATGTGGTTTATAGTTTATTTAACACTTTATTAACTTTCTTTTATGTAGGCTTTTGTTTTTGTGTAAGAGGACGCTAATTCCGCAACTTGGGAGAGAATTCCTTTTATTCCTAAAAGTTCGAATAAAAAAGCAAATGAGTCGTGCCGTTGATAAAGGTGCAATGTATATTTAGATTAGATCCCTCCAACCCATACTCGTTATCAATATGCATTTCCTAAAGAAAGTAAGCGAGTGAAGTGAACAGAGGAGAGGGAGGTTGACTACTTAGGAGGTTCTGAATATCGAACCCTCGCTCGTTCAATGTCTTGGGCTTCTTTACTGAGTTTTAACTCAATGTGTGTTTTTTTTTCCTTCATTCGACCGATAGGTTTATCATACACGAGTCCAAAGGGTGAAAGAAGAAATTTTTTTGTGAGTATCCACATCTAACCCGCACCAACCCGCATTGAATAGTGGTTAACCAATACCCACTGTGGGGCGGGTTGTGAATAGCATAATTCTATATTTGTGAGTGTGGTTACCCACAAAATGTGGGGCAGGTAACCACACCCATCCCAATTTCCACCCTAACTACAGGCCCTTGATGGGTTACAGGTTGGGCTGGCCTTCACGGTTTATTCAATTAGACACGGACCTACATCTAGTCCATTCACAAGTCAATGGTTCTCTGTCCCACCAACCAATTCCGGTCCACTGCACAAATTATTCCACAGCAAGATTTGCCATTGGCTATAATATAACATTGCCATCAATGCCATGTGCTTTGACCACTTCTACTCTAATGACTTTCCAAGCAAGTTTCCCCCAAGCAAACAGCTTCAACTGCAAGCTAATCACTTATTTGTTATGTTTCTCATCTGTATATAAAATCTGCCAATACCAACCAAATACTCACACCACTCTCAAACCCACTAGCCAAAGCATTTCATCCAACTCGAACTATCTACAACGACTTGCACACAAAAAAAAAATGTTCACCGCATCCAACATCCCCTCGACCTCTTCGATCCTAGCCATGTACTCAACCTTCGCCGCAGCAGCAATGCTCGTCAGAACGATACTCAACGAGGTCCAAACCTTAGCCACCCAACTGATCCCAAAATGGCTCCAAGTCAAAATCCTGTCCATTTTCGGTCAGTTCTTCATAAACCCAACCACCCAAATGACCCTTTTCATCAAAGAGCACGCCAACATGGAACTCAACGAGCTCTATCAGGCTTCTGAAGTCTACTTGAGCACTAGGATCACGAGTTCCATTGGGCAGCTTCAGGTCAGCAAGGCGCCTCGAGAGAAATCCTTGTCGATCAAGGTAAATAGGGGACAACAGGTTCTTGACACGTTCCGAGGGATGGATTTGGTATGGGAATTCGTCACTACGGAGACTCAGCAGATTATCGTAAACTACGAGGACATGTCGGGCTCCAACGGGAAGACTGAGCACAAGTCAGTCACGCTGAGCTTCCATAAGCGATACAAAGATGAGGTAAGCAATCTTAAACCAAAGTTGATCCAGTGAAGACTTGCTACTCAAGTTAACTTTATCGTCATTGTTTAGGTGTTGAACAACTATCTTCCCTACGTGATGGAGACATTCAAGTCTATGGAGAGCGAGAAGCGATCTGTGAGGCTGTATGCATATGGAAGTGTCACTGCCCAATACTACGAAGGGCCGTGGGGATCAATCAATCTGGACCATCC